TCTTCTTATTTTCTTTCAATCGTCGATCCAGTTATCCTCCCCATATAGCTATCGGTTAAAACCACGTAAAACACTCGTATTCCAGTGATATTTAGAAAACTTTTTATCTTGCATACCGATTCAATGGGTAGGCATATCGATTTCACTGTTTCAATTAGTAAAATTACATTGATTCCAAGTGATATACTGGTAAGTGCAAACCTCAGTGACTACCCACAGGTGATCAGTGAATCTTCATTTCAGATTCATTTTTAGAGATTACGATAAGGAAGGACACTGCGTTCCGCGCGCCGCACGTTCGACGTCCCCCGTTAACGCGTACGTGTCACGGCTCAATCTCACACGCGTCAAGTCAGCAGATCACAAATAAATGGCCGTTCTACGGGAAGTCAGCGCATCATTTTTTTCAATCTTGGTTTTTTAAAGGTAAAATCGCGACAACTATTACTAAAGTGTATCAGGAACTATAGAACTCTCGTAGTAAGTTGCATCGGAAAAGAAGAGACATTTATTTGTGATCTGCTGGAAGTTGATCTGCTAACTTGACACTCATAGGCGCGTTAGGCGAGGTTCGGTGAAAGTTTGAGAAACCGTGGAAGAAGCACATATGCGCGCGAGAGCAGCTCACTACACATCGCGTAGCGTGGATGCAAAATAAAATTAGTGGCAAGAAATAGGGATGCTTATGCCTATACAAGTCAGTGCCGAGAGCGGTGAGAGGAGGAAGCGTACGTGCAGCGTCCAACCTACTGCTGCTGTACGATCAAGGAGTCTATGGCTCAACATACTGTATGTCCAGTTGTCCACATATGTATATGTATGTTTATATACGGCCGAATTCAAAGTGACTAAGACCAATGCGCAGAGGAAGGCGGCGCAAGGCGGCGGAAGGCGGCGCAAGGCGGCGCACTCTCGAACGATTCTCTTGGTCTTCGGAGGTATTCCAGCACCTTCGTGCCTGTGTCGGTTTTTCCTCTCAAGTGCACTGTCCATATTTAAACGGTTTCGGGTAGCCGATGCGGCCATCGTGTATATCGGCCCTCATCAGCGATATGTTTGACGACTGACGACTCCGCGGACGGAGCTATCGCTGCGCAGTATAATAAAGAGAGG